AATAACAACAAAATGAATTGCTTAATAAATTAATTTCCTATTAGCACATTGTTTATTTAATGCCAAGGGCCACGGCTGCATATCTTAGAATCGGCCTCCGTATTCACTCACGTAGCTTTGTTTTGACTTAGGACTTAGTTGCTGTTAAGTTCTTATCTAAAGTAAGCCTGGTATTTACCTCAACCCGTAGATATTTTGTTGTGATGAGTATTCTTGTACCGTTGAGTGAAGGCAGCTGAAATTGTGGTTCTGACTCGATTTTTTCTTAGCATCAGCTTCGTCTAATTAGAATTAACACCTAACCAGTTGCTCACGGCGCATGAATGTTATATTTGTAAGATTCTCTCCACAATCTCGCCGATTGCAGAAGTAAATAGTTGTTGGTATCATACAACGTGCAACTCTGCGGAGTGATTCATGCCTCCGTGCATTCGGATTTTATGATCAATCTGTTCGTCAGTATTGATTGCATCCATCTGCAAAACTCTTGTCTATGCCGATATGTAATAGGGAATTATTGAGTGAGTGTAGAAGGCATTATTGGGTCCGAGCTATGTAAGTACCTAAAGCAGAAGAGATAAGCAGAGAATATCAAAATTGATATCGATCGGGTCAGAATGACGTGTGGACTTGATTTAACAGCTAGTCCCTCAGTTTTTAAGATATTACAACCAAACTTGGTACACTGACTGCTATACATATATAAGATAGAGATATTTAGTCATAATCTGTCAAAAAAGCATCTGAGAGCATTGACATTATATATTTTATCTATACATAAACATACTCCCAGAAAATTATCGAAATCAGTCTAAATATATCATATAACCCTCATACAGTCGATTTGCACAGATGTGAGGTTATGTAACCGCACGAATTTTGGTTTTCTATAATTAGACCATGAATCGTCTTACAAACGAACAACGCTTGCAAGTTATTGAATTTTATTATCAAAATATGTGTTCTGCTAAGGAAGTTCATCGCGCGCTTCTTCCACGGGCGCTTTGAAGCTCACTTTTGGCTGAATGTGTGCGTAAATAAGCAGAGTTGTCAGTTTTGGACTGAAGATCAGCCAGAAGCATTGCAAGATCTGCCAATGCAACCAGAAAAAGTCACAGTTTGGCGCGGTTTATGGGCATCATTGGATCGTACTTCTTCAGAGATGATGCGAATCGTAAGGTAACTGTGACTGGTAAGCGCTACCGTGAGATGACATGACACTTTTTTTTTTGCCTAAAATGCAAGAGATTGACTTGCATAACATGTGGTTGCCATAAAACGGTGTCATATGCCACACAGCACGCGTAACAATGGACTTATAGGGAGGCGAGTTCGGAGAACGTTTCACTTCAATTGCCGCCTAGATCGTGTGATTTAACGCCTGTAGACTATTTTTTTGAGAGTTTGTTAAGTCTAATAACTATACAGACAAGCTCGCTTCAATTGACGCATTGGAAAACAACATTGAAGCATTTATTAGTGAGATCCCGAAATGTTGGAAAGAGTATGAGAGTAATTGGGTTAAGCGGATGGACCATTTGAGACGCAGTCACGGTCAACATTTGCGTGAATTAATCTTTAAATATTAAATTATATGGCCCGTACTACCGATTCGAACAAAGATTCTATGCATTTTTCTGAATTTTATGAGTTTTTTTTTGAATAACTCACCTATAGCTTTTAAAATTTCACCCTTTATAGTTCAAGCACTGGAAATACATACATATATACGAAGCTTTATATTACTCTTTATTGAAGCATCTCACCGTTGGTGCTCTTCTCTCTACATTTAATGAACACAAATTCAATATATATATGTATGTATATTAAATTATTGAATGATTTTGAAAATTTTAAGCTAAAATGTGTTGCGATAAGCGTGCGGTTTCTTACTCATCGCGTTTATTTTTGGAAAGAAGTGCGCTGACTTTGAGTTTCTTTCAAATACACCCACACAAGACATTGACCCAGAATAACAGAATATGCGACTCATTTGAGATGCACAGTTATGTTCTTGGAAAAATGCGAGTTCCAATAAATTAAGCTCACATATTAAGCATATTTTCACATACTCTTTGCACATACATACATACAGCTCCCAGCGTTTGGAGTCAGCTAAAGGACTACTAAGTTGGTTGAGACTCCTTGATTTAATTTTTGGTACAAAAATCGTTTGGTATTAAAAAAATATTAATTTTGTTTATATTAAATTTTAATGACTATAGCCAATATAATAAAATGTCAACAACCCGTTGGCGTCACAGACTTAATTTCTGTGAATTAATATGTTGTTAATGAGTTTCAACTAATATTGAAATGGCATTGAACTTCGAAAAATGCATTAAAGGCGAGTTAAGCAAATTAACATTTATTATTTCCTTTCTTAAATTTAAAAACAATAACATAATTACGATGAATAAGCAGAGACAACAGCAAATCGATCAACACAGCCTTCAAATGTGTGCATCCTCCGGCGGGATAAAGTTGCAAATGGCACCCAAAGGGTGTTCTTTTTAGATATGTGGCTTTCTAGGAGAAATAAAGCGCATATATTGTAATGTTATGATCAAGTATTTAACTTTATTTTAAATATAAGGGTTAGTCATTTAATTTTTAAAAATCATCTCGGCTAAGCGATCGGTGTAGCTGGTTCGTATAAACTTTAGCCAACCACATTTTGCAGCAATTGGGGCCGTATGTCAGTAGTAAAGCGTTGAATATTCTCTTCCAAGTTATCTATCATATCAGGCTTATCTGTGTAGACAAGCGACTTCATATATATATATATACATATAAATAAATTTTTATATAATTGGCGCTTTGCAGACGCTGCGGCGAATTTTTGGCCGAGCTCCTCCTCCAATTTGTGGTTTTGCGTCTTGATGTTTTTCCAACAATTGCAAGGACTAACAGTTTATATTAAGCCGCCTCCGAAAGACTGATGATCTTTTTTTAAGAAGGAGGGGTGGACATTTCCGGCCGAGGGCGACCCTAATTTGAAAATTTAACTAAGTTTTTTTATTTAAAATAATTTTCCATAACTTTTTTGTTTTATGTTGGAGGCACCAGGATATGAACCCGAGCCTTCCGAATGTCAGTACGCAATGCCAACCATTCGTCTACCACAGCCGCCGACCTCACATAACCCTACAAATAAAAGTCCAGCTTTGTTAAATCGCACCATCTTAGAAGTCATACCAAAGCTCCACGATACGTGACAATGCGCTCTCCAAGAGTTTTCTTCAACAAATCGATTGTTTCGTTGGCTACATGATACGTAGTGGCGTCTTATTGAAATCAAAGGCAATCCACATTAAGATCCTCTAATTCAGGCACGAGAAAGTGATTAATCATGGCTCTTTGACGCGCTCCATTGACTGGCCGGCTTCATTTTTGAAGAAATATGTACCAAAGACTTCCATTGCCCATAAAACACATCAAGCTGGGATTTTATATGCCGTCTTAGCAATAACTTGTGTCTGATTATCTTCACTCCGCTGAGCTGCATCGCTGAACATAATTTTCTTGTGAAAACCTGAATCGGTGGCCATTCGTACGTGCGACACTCTCGATTGTCAGTCGGCTTCAATTTTTGTTTTCATTAGATTTTGTAGGCGCGAAAACAAATATCCTTCTGAAAGCCCTTCCTTAAAGTGAATGAGCGCACAGCTTCAGCAGTTGTGCGCAATACAAAAGCGACTCATTCGGGCCTACCTTAATAGTCTCCTCTACAGCACAATAGCAATGGCGTCTTTCAGAATGTGCATTATCTACTAGAGTAAGAGTGGTGCAAAACTGATCCACGGTTGCCCGAATTACCGATTCTGTTGGGCGATTATACGACACGTGCATTCGCGGGCCGCCCCTAGATTTTTAAATTTAAAAAGAAAAGAAAAAGCCACTGATAGCAAGTTTTGGATTGTAGGTTGATAGTCAAATCCTGCGAATCCAGTAGCTTTTCAGACATCGCTCTAAGCCCGGGTGGTGTGAACGAGTACGTTGACTCGAAGATGCAGCACTCCGCACGCTAACTTGGCACGTCTCTTCTGTACGACACCCGCGCGCGCCTGACTCTACAAATCAATGTGATACTGGCCGTTCGTTGTAGTTCCCTTTGGCAAGCACTCAATTAATAATATTCCCTCGCTATCCCAGAAAATGCACACTTGGGAGCGTACTGACGAAACCAAGTTTCATCAACTTTTTTATAAGAAATTCAATGAAAGCACGGTGCTCTGATAGTTTATTTGGTTCCATCGGACAGTGTCCAGTTTTTCTTCCGATTAATGTCCAGTTCGGTTTGGTTACATTGTATGTGGATCTGCTAGTGTAGAGTCAATACTGCGGCCACACAGTTTCTCTTGAGCAGGGAATCCAAAACGCGGACAAACCATGGAATGCTTTCTAATGAAATTTCCTGAAGCGCAGTTATAATGATCTTGGTTGTTTTGTCTTTTTTCACTATCCTTGACATTGAATTTTTAATAGTTGAGTTCGAAATTTAAAATTGAATTTATTAACCATTAGTTGGTCTTTCCTTCTTACTCTTTTTTATCTTTAAATTTTTTCGTTTTTTTTTCATTCCACGTTTTTAAAGTAGTTCGTCGCAAGCTAACAAGCTTTGTCACTTAATTAATAGAAACAAATATTTTCTACACTAATTATGCCGCTTCCAGACTGACAACTTTCCTTCAAAACTCGTTTTTCGATAGCAAGTTGCGAGTTATAAAAAAAAAACAAAAAAAGTTCTCACTAAATTAAAAAAAAAAAATGTATAATTTTGTATGCTTTAATAAAAATGTTTTGAAATTTTAGTGACGTTGGTAAAAAGAAACAGAAATGTATGCACATGTGAGAAGCATAAAATATAATTTAAAATTATTAATATTAAAAATTATTAAAAAAAAATAAAAATTTTATTACTATAATTTTCTAATTTTATTTTTTAACTATTTACATATTAATTTCATTAATTATTAAAAATACACGCTACAAAATATATTATATAAAAACACTAAAAATCAGTAATTCGGATTAATCTGTTCATTCACCGAACATAAACCAGGATAATAGGGATTTTTCCCAGACAAACAACGTGAACCCGGCTGACCAACTGTATATACTGGCGTGTCTAATGCATAAATCGATGCATAATTACAAACCATATTATATATGTAAACATAGGGCACATCGGGGCGTGTGAAACGAATGATGCCACAGCCGACATGGGTATTGCGATCGACAGCGATCTCGGCAAAGTGGCCATAGTCCTCGCTGTGGAGCAAAAAAAAAAAATTAATAAAATTTTCGAAATGAATTAAAGCAAAAGTAAATGGCAAAATAAAATAAAATTAAATTAAATTAAATAATATAATACAAAAGATTTTAAAATAAAAATATAAAATAAAAAAAAACACTAAATAAAACAAATTAAAATAAAATAAAATAAATCAAAATAAAAAAATTAAGCAAAGCAATTTAAATCAAAAAGTTAAATAAAACAAAATAAAAAAAATAAATAAAATAAAATAAAAAATATACAAAATAAAGCAAAATTAAATAAAATAAAATACAACAAAAAATAAATAAAATTAAATAAAATAAAATAAATAAAATAAAATAAAATAAAATAAAATAAAATAAAATAAAATAAAATAAAATAAAATAAAATAACATAAAATGCAATTAAATAAATAAAAATATAATAAAACAAAAAAATTAATAAAACAAAGTAAAATAATATAAAAAAATAAATTAATGCAAAATAGTTAAAAATAAAAAAAAAATTAAACGAAATAAAGTAAAATTATTAAAATAAGAAAAACTAAATAAAACAAAAGAAAATAAAATACAATAATTTAAAAAATATTAAAATAAAATTAAGTAAAATAAATTAATATAAAAAAGTAAAATAAAATAAAACAAAAAAACTGTTATAACAAAAAAATATATAAAATGAAAAAAAATAAAATAGAATAAAATAAAATCGAATGAAATGAATAAAGTAAATAAAATGAAAGAAAAAATTAGATTAAATAATAATAAAAATGAAATAATTTAAATTTAAGAAAGAACAAATAAAATGAAAACTAAAATAAAACAAAGTAAAACCAAAATAAATTGAAATTAAATTAAATTAATTAAAAATAAAATACAATAAAATGAATTAAAATAAAATGAAAAGAAAGTAAAATAAAAAAATTAAATAAAACAAAATAAAATAAATAACATAAAATAAAATGAAAAAATAAAGAAAGATAAAAATAATAAAATCAATTAAAATAAATATATATATATATACATAAAGTTTATACACAAAATTAGCAAAAATTAAAAGATATAAAATAAAATCATATGAAAAAATAATTAAAAAAATAATAATAAAATAAAGACAAATTAAAAAATACATATAATAAAATGAAATAAAATAAAAAAAATAAAATTGAGTAAAGTAAAAGAAAATAAAATCAAACATAATAATTTAAAATAAAATAATATAAAATAAAATAAAAAAACATAAAATAATAAAAAAATGAGAACATAAATTAAAAAAACAACAAATTATTTAACTCAAATCAAATAAAAGTAAAAAAATTAACTTACTTTATAAAAAAAATAATAATAAGGAAATTAAATAAAAATTGTTGATGAAAAAAAAATAAAACTAAAATAAAATACATTTAAAACAATAGAATAATATAAATAATATTGTATATTATAAAATAAAATAATATAAAATAGAATAAGAGAAACTAAATTAAAATAAAATAACACAGATAAATTAAAGTACTGTAGAATAAAAATAAAAAAGATTTAAAAAATTATATTTAATAAATAAATTAATATTTTATATTAAATAAAGTAGAGCCAAATAAGTACTTTGCAAAATACTTACAAATATTTTGTCACGCGAAATTTTCTTATATAACTGCTATCTATCAGCGGATACTCATTGAACCACAAACCCATGACTTCCTCGATAATTCCGCTCACATTCACATTCGGATTGCGATCGCGTACCACGCCACAGAGATTTTGCCCAGAATACTGAAAACGGTATGTTGTATGACAGGAATCGTGATCCAGTATACAGGTGCGTAGATTGAGTGATGCCAAGTATTGAAGCTCATCATCCCAAATCTAATAAAAAAAATTGTAGTCAATAAAACTTAAAAATAAGTATATACTAGTAAACAATATTAATATTTCAAAAGACGGAAAAAAATGCTAAGCATTTGGTAAAAATCCAAACTCTTTTGATAGAAAATCATAATGAAAGAAAATGTTCTATCGATTTCTTTATGTATTTTTATGAAAACGGACAACAACTGAAAGGCTTACAAATTACATATTATTTCTCAAAGCACGTTTCCGCAGTAAAAAATATAGCAAATAAACAAATATTACTCAATTTAAAAAAATTGAGAAAGTAATGATTATTTTTAATTCAGTAATAATCATTTAAATCCCATAAAACTAGGATACTAAAAACAAACTGACATTTATGAGCTTTAGCTTTATTCGATGACTTGTAGTAGAAGATTTATTTGCGATTAAACAGTACATTTCATTCTTTACTGAACTTGCATACAAAATGCACAACAACAAGAAACAGACAAACAGACAATGCACGCGAATAGCGATAATTTGTTGGTTAAGGGAGTAACAGGCGCGGGTAATTTTAAATCTTTATAGTTTTCCTGTTTCGCAGATACAAAATATACAAAAAGAAATAAGAAACAACAAATATTCCCGGCCGGCCTGCTGGACGCAATAATATTATGACATCAAATGCAAATGAAAGTGAAACAAGTTTGCTGCTTAAGTCTTTTGTCTTAACCATCTTTATATTCCTGTTTATATTTTGATTTTCTGGATTTTTTAGATTTTATGCATATTATCGGCTTTTTAGCACCTTTTGGACTATCCAATTTTAGTTATTTATGTACACATTAACTTTTTGCTTTTTATTTTATTTTTTGCCTTAATTTACCAAACACACGTAAATAACCGCATTTAATACTAACCATTGTAGCCATACGAGCAGCGGGATAGTAGCCGGGCAGCAAACCGAGCGCTAAAAAATTTCTACGCTTATTATGCTCATGTACAAATTGATCCTTATAATCGGAGATGTCCAACTCAGTGGCATCGGCTGCGCAGCGGCTGGCAAAGTTCTGTGGTTACAGAGAAAGCAAATATAAATTAATGTTTAATAAATTAATAAATAAAAATTGATTAATTTAAAGTTTATACAAGAAAAGTGTATTAAATAATGATGTTTAAAAACTTTGCATTTTTTAGTTATAAATAATGGGTAGTTTTAAAAAATTTATTTATTTTCATATAACCTTAAACAAATTCTTTTTAAAAATTTATTTTAATGGTTTAGCGATTTCAACTGTACTTTTAAGTTTTGCATACTTTTTTTGTTTATTTATTTATTTTTTTTTAAATTTTTTTTTTATTTATTTCACGTTGCTCATTTGAAAACTTTTGGTTCTATATGGCTTTTTTATTGTCTTTCTTAATTTTCTTTATGTTTTATTACTTCATTAAAGAAGTTTATTTTGATTTAAAAACTTTTATGCGCTTATAGGTCTGTAGTTTCTTAATTTTATAAGCTTTAGAAAAGCCTTAATATTTATTATTATTTTTTACTTTTTGTTAAATTTTTTTTTTGGGCTCTCATTAATACTGCTGAAGGTATATCTATATCTATATCTATATATATACATATTTTTTAATTTAGTAACTCTTTTATGTCACCAAAAAATATATTTTAAATGTTTTAAATATTTACAAAAAATTAACTATTTTACTTAAATTTTTAACTTTTTCGAGTTTTAATTGTACTCTTAACTTTATTTTGTCAAAAAATTTCCAACCAATGCGTATATTCGTTTTAAAAACTAAGTAAAATATTAAGATTAAAAATGTAACAATAATTGTTTATTATGCTTTATGTAAAAGTATATTCAATATTTATGTAATGACTATAAAAATATTATGTCTCAGATTAGGCTATTATTTAGTGCTTGTTTTTGTAGTAAAATCAGTTTTAAAATTCTTCGATATTATTTTAAGTTTTAATTGTTTAATTCATTTTAATTTGTTTTATCCGTTTGTTCTATTTTGGTTTACTTAAGTTTATTTTACGAATTTTTCTCTTATTTTCAAGATTTTTAACGTTTTATTATCACTTATAATTTATTTCAATTTAATTGCTTTAAACTCATTTCATTTATCTGATTAAATTAATATTTAATTACAATAATTTTATTTGTTTCAATTGACGCTAATTTAATTGTGATTAAATAAATTTTTATTCCTTTTCACTTGACTTTATTTTGCTTTGTCCTACTTTATTTTATTAAAAATTAATTCATTTAATTTAATTCAATTTAGTTTATTAAAAATGAATGTTGTAGTATATTTATCACTTGTATATGTTTTTTATCATTGTGGCTTATATTTTTAATTAAATCAGTTTTTTAAATATTAAATTTTTTTATATTAATTTTATTTATTTGAATTATTTTTTATGTTTACTTAAATTTTATCGATACACGTAATTTACCTCAGTTTAATTTATTTTAATTAAAAATTAGTTTTTTGTATTATTTTATTTTAACAAATTTAATTTTTTGTTTTATTGTATTCTGTTCTTTTATATTTCATACTTTATTGTTCAATGTTATGTCAATTATTTGTTTTTTAAACTATTTATTTTTTATTTGATTTTATTCATTAACTTTATTTTATAGTTTTTAACTTTTTATTTAATTTCTTTTATTTTTTTTTAACTTATTTATATATTCCATTTATTATTTATTTTAATTGTTTTAAATTTACTTATATGATTTTATTTCAATTTATTTTTTATTGTTGCTCATAGCTTTTTATCTTCTTCTTCATTGAATTTTTTACTATTCCCTATGATTTATTTTTTACTTATTTGCAGTTATGGAATTTAATTTAGTTTTAATTTTTAATTAAAATAATTGCATTTTTTTACTTTATTTGGATTCATTTTTTTAACCGTATTTTATATTACTTTACTCTCTTTCATTTTACTTCATTTCAGTTTTATTACTTTATTTTATATATTTTTTTATTTTACATTGTAATACATTTGTTTTATATGAATTTAGTTAGTATTGTTTTATTTGGTTCTGTATTTCTATTTATTTCATGGCATTTACGTATATGAAATTACTTTGTTCGATTTTATTTTGTTTACGTTTTTCGTTGCAAGATTTGTTTTAATTATCTTTATATGTAAACTTGATTTAATTTAATTTAATATTTTTATTTTCTTTGTCTAGTTTAATTTAAGTTTATATTGTTTTATTGGATATTTTAATTTTCAATTCTTATATTAATTTTTTTTATTTTACTTCGGTTTTTTTAAATTAATTTTATATATCTTAATTTTGTTTTATTCAATTTTATTGCACTTTGCTTTGTATTATTTTAATTAATTTTTTTTATACTTGATCTAATTTTAAACATTTTTCTTTATTTTACTACTTTATCTTATTTTATTACATTTTTTTACTTATATTTTTTATTTAATTTATTTTGTTTTAAAATAATATAATTAAGATATTACATTTTATTTTATTATTATTTATTCTATTTGATTTCAAAGTACATTACATTATTATATTTTTTTTTAATTTAATATATTTAAATTTTTCTTTAATTTAATACTATATATTTTATTTTATCTTATTTTATTTTATTTTAACTTATATTTATTAAAATTTTTTTACATTATATTATATTGTTTCATTATATTTTATTTACTTAATTTTCGTTGTTTCCTTTTAATAAAATATATATGTAGCTTATTTTACTTTATTTAAATTTATTTTTTCAATTTTTCATTATTTTCTATTTAATTTTTTTGTAAAGTTGTGTATCTTATTTCGTTTGACTTTATACAAAATATTTTTTTTTACGTTTTATTTAATTTTATTTATTATATTTTTGGTTTTGTTTTCATTTATATTTTTTATTATATTTTATTTAATTTTATTATAGTTTATTCCATTTTATAATATTATCAATTATTATAAATTATTATTATATTTTATTTAGTTTAATATAATTTGTTTAACTTATTTTTATTAGATTTTAGTGCATTATAATTTATGTTTTTTTTTTAACTTCATATTGTATTATTATTTTTATTAATGTTATTGTATTACCTTCTTATTTATATTATTATATTTTGTTTTTTTGAAACTTTTATTTTTTATTTATGTCTTATTTCATTTAAATTTAATTTGTATTATTTTTTATTTTATTTTGCTTTCTTTTAATATGTATTATTATATTATATTTTTTATTGATTTTCTTAAATTATTTTGTTACAAAGTTTTTTGTTTTATTTTATTTTAATTTATTAAATTTTTTTTTATTTATATGATATTATTTAATTTATTTTTTCATTTAATTTTTAGTGTATCGTTTTTTATTTTATTTTATTCATATCATATTAATTAATTTTATTTGTTAAATTTTTTAATTTTTTATTGTTTATTATTTTATTTTGTTTAACTTAATATATTTCTTATTATAATTAAATTTTTATTTAATTTATTTATTATTTTATTTAATTCATACTTTATTGTTTAATTTGTTTTATAGTCTTTTATTTAACAAAATATAATTGTTTGTTTCATTCTTTGGTTCGTATTCATTTATATTATTTAATTATGTTATATTTAATTTTATTATAGTGTATTCCATTTTATTTTATTATACATTTTTTAATTTTATATACTATTATTATTTTTATTTAGTTTAATTTAATTTTTTTTACTTATTTTTAATTTTTTTTTTACAATTAATTTTTTTTTGATTTTAGTGTATTTATTTATGTTTTCCTTTTAATTGTACACTATGCTATTATTTTTGTTAATGTTATTATATTTTATTCATATTCATTTTGGAATTGTTACTTTTATTTTATTTCTTATTATTTATTTATTAATTATTATTATATTTTGCTTTAGTTATTTCTTATCTAATTTTATTTAAATTTAGTTTTTATTATTTGAGTTATTTTTTTTTTTTGCTTTATGTAATATTATTGTATACTTTTTATGTAGTTAAACTGATTTTTTTAAACTATTTTGTTATTAAATTTTTTTGTTTTATATTATTTTACTTTATTCTAATTTATTATATTTCTTTTTATTTATTTTATATTATTTAATTTATTTTTTGTTTAATTTAATTCATCTTTTTCATAAAATGTTTAGTGTATAATTTGTTTTTTTATTTCATTCATATTATTTTATTTTATTTGTTAAAATTTTTTAATTTATATTGTTTGTTATTTTATTTTTTTATTGTGTTTTGTTTAATTTTATTTTCTCTTATTTTGGTTAAAATTTGATTTCTTTGTTTTATTTTTTTTTTCATTCAATTTTTTTGTTGTATTGTTTTTTTATATAAATTTATTATTTTTCATTTAATGTTTTTATCTTTTTTTAACTTACGCCATTGTTCCGACAAGCCAAATGCTTTACGCCACGCTCGCACAAAGTGGGATCACACCAGGAGTACTGCGCGCTGCAGCAGCCGCATAGGGACAGGAGCAACAGTGAAAGTGACACTACGACATTTCTTATTCGGTACTTTGATGATTGCGTTTCGCAAACTCGTAAATTATGTTTCATTGGCATTTTGCTAATTGCCAGTTTTAACCAGTTTTAAGCTGTTATTATAACCGTTAAGTGTTTGCTATTTTAAAATTTTGTTATTTCTGTTGTTGCTTGCAATAAGAATTTCTACAAATTTGTTTGTTTAGTGCCACTAAGTGGTGGGCTTGGCTACCGAGCGTTCAAATGTACATTATTTAATAAAATTAAAACAAAAAAAGAATTCCCAAAATGTCACTTAATACACAATACTTGAATGTTTTCTAACTGGCAATGCTTCAACGCTTATTTGCACTCACTTTCAGCACATACCGTTAAGCACTGCGTTGCTATTTTCACAAATCACTGTATTTATTTATTTCCAATGCATTAAAAGCAATTTTGGTACATACAAAAAAAAAATTAAATTATTTTCTATTGTATAAATTTGTTCCTTTGGTCTCGCGCCGCCAAGCGAAATGTGAAGTTCGAAATGTGTGCCTTTATCGAGCGGCTAATTCAAAATGAATTCGAAATGAAGACACTCCGTCTAAAGAGGGTATCGAAAAACGGTTAGGTAGCGAGCAGCGCAGCGCAGTGTGGCATCCCAAGATGCTTAGCGCTTAAGCGTTTAGAATTAGCTGAAGAGATTTTAATTTAATCAAAGCGATTAAAACAAGTTAACGTTTATACATACAACAGTAAATAAATATAATAATAAAAGCAGCTAAAAAATGTATGAATATGTGTATGTTCCATCTGCATGTGTTTTGCATAATTTGCGCGCTGAGGAGCGCTTCGAAAGCAGGTGACCAACCCAATCTCTCAGCAGACTTCTTGCTCCCTCCATCTATTTTGCCAGGTTTTATGAGACATTTTGCTTGTCAATCTGTTTAACGCAGTCATCTATCTTTTTATTATCTCGCGAATTCAATGTAAATTTATTTGTTTAATGGTAATTTACATATGTACAAACAAAAAAGACAAATAAATAATTTATTTTGCTTTCATTCTTTTTTTTACATTTTAGTCTTTTCTTACTTTATTTATTTTATTATTTTTTATATTTTTTTTTTTGTATACCATCAACGGAAATGTAATGGAACTTGTTTTATTTAGTGGAATTAGGGAAATGCGTAGTTTCGGTTTTGATTAAAGAGAAAAAAATAGGAAAGCTAAAAAATTAAAGAAAAAACACAAAAAAATTAATAAAAATCAATAAGCAAGAAGTAATGAAAAAGACACAGGTGTGACAACAAATTTTTTATCCATATATATAAAAGGTGTTGTCTTGAACGCGAGGTTTTCAATAAGGCCACACTTATTTCGGAGGATGGGCCCAAATGTGAAAAGAAGTTCACGCAAGTGAGGACAGCTTTAGTGGCCTGAAAAAATTCTTTTAAGTCTAAGGCCGGACCCAGTACAATCTGGATAGCCAATAAACAACCGAAGGAGAATCATTCTGTGGTTGTACGTATGGAATCTCCACATGAAAAATATACTCCAATGGGAAACAGCAAAATGCCTCGGTTGAGAGACCGAACACAATTTGAGGGCATAATCCTGGAGTATAATGTAGTGTAGTGAAGTAATATTAAAGTTTGGCATCAGCGCCATCCAAGAAATGCAATGGACGGCACCAGGAAAAAAACGAGAAGGTCTCTTTGATATTTACCTTAGCGGCCGTTAAAAAGAAACGCAAATTTGGTGTTGGATTTAAGGTAGGATAAGGAGACTTGCGCGCCGAGTAATAGCATACTTATGGATAGACCGATGTGGTGACCGATGCCCAGATCATACTTGGTGTATGCTGAATGGCAATAAAAATGCCACACTCGGAAATGGCGTGCAAGAAACGACAAACGATTGTGGTGGAAAAGACGTTCCAATATCGACTGCTCAATTAGCCGATGGCTAACCGACTTACAATAGCTATTTAAATATGGTGGTGAAGAGCAGAGAAGGTGAGCGTCTTTGCAGAATATGGTCGGACGAAAGCATGTCCGACAATTGGAACTTAAATCTGATTTGCCAAAACCATGAAAAGCGGGATTAAACCGTCTGAGACAATTACCCTGGGATTAACCTCTTAAATAACCCGTATAAGGTGCTATAGAGACTTAAGTCCACCATCAACAAGCATATTGGACCCTATCAATGTGGCTTTCTTCTTTATTGTCGTTGCCACCGTTTTCGCGATGTGGCTTTAGATCTGGTAAATCAACCATTGACCAAATATTCCCTAAGCGTCAATTCTTGACAACTGCTGGAAAAGCACTGCATTTTTCAGGTTTGATAAATAAGCGAAGCGAATGGGTCTGGCATTGAACGAGAACAACATGAATTATTTCCTGCCATCAAACAAACAGTTGGCACATTTAAGGATTGGGTTCCATGTTGCTGTTGGCAGTCTCGACTTTGAAAAAGTTGATAGTTTTGTCAATCTAAGGATCAGCAATATCACAAATAACGTTATTACATCCTCAAAGAGTCAGTAATTAGTGTCCTCCATGGGTGGAGGAAATCATTGGTCTATATTCCTCAAAAAAGAAATGAAGCAGTACAAAATATCACAAGCAAAGGGGAACGCTATAAACGCATGACTAATGACTTTTTCGTGTTTGAATTGGAAGAAATTCATGTAGACGGCTTTTGGATCGAGCAAGTCGGCACTACGTGCCAAACAACCAATGAGATAATCAATTTCTTGAAGGAAACCTTTGGTGAACATATTTTCTCACGTTGTGGGTCTGTGGCGTGATAAGCCTGAGATGACTGACTCTTTGAAGAGATTATTCGTTGCGTTATTGTTAATATACGGTCCCAAACGCTGAAAAAAGTAATCGAAAGTTGGACCTCTTGGCTGGAATTTATACGAGCTAGCTCGACTCGGTCACAAACAGACTTAATGGAAAACCTCTTCTTTTTGAAAATCCAACGTGTTAAACACCCTCTCACAATCACCATCAATGGAAAAAATGTGGCGATCTAAAGGTTTAAATATTAACTCCAATTAAATCCAAAATATTAATTAACTTACATATTCTTCTAACAAAAGATTGATCCCTAGATATTTTTGATGGCTGCGGGACCACCATGCAACTGTACATCGTTATGTGCGAAAGGATTGGCCAAATCGTACTTAATAGGAGCCTGAACATCAAAGCATCTCCGCGGCAGCAATTATAGTTACACAAAAGAATTTCCCGCCATCTTTCACAGCAAACCTGGTCTTTTCAATGATTTCATTCAACGCACTTAACCGTGAAATGCCGGTTTTTTAGTATTTAATCAAGTTGCTTCACAAATTGTCTTTCGCAAAAATCAAAGATGGAATATTTGTGGGACCTGATATAAGCAAAATAATGTCCACCAGCAACCTTACAATCGTTCACATCTTTCAAAATGTTGTTAACCACTTTTCTGGCAACCACAAATCTCTGATATTCAAGGAAAACTTAATTAATTTGTTGGAAAGTTATCAAAAGATTGGAGCAAGACTGCTTCTCTATATACATTGCCTGCATTCTACCCGAAAACTTGGGCGTAACGAGCGAGGCACAATGAGAATGGCTACACCAAGATATAATCAACAACGAAAAACGATAACAAGCATTTTAGGTCGAAGAAATGAAAGGCAAATACGGTTGAACTCTACTACGTCATGTAGACTCCAAGCGATACAAAACACTCAGCTCCACCTACCTTCATATCTGAAGCTGAAGCTACTTTTGGCCAAGCTCCTCTCCGATTAATAATCGATGCCTTGATTTTTTCCAACTAACTTAAAGTTTCTACTAAGCCGCCACCGAACGGTCGCTGACGTTCCCTGCCGAGTGGCGATCGCAATTAGAATAATTAATTTCCTATATATTTGAATGTTGGTGAAATCAGGATTCGAGTCCAGGTCTTCAGCATCGCAATGAAATTACGGTTATAATGTTGTGAAATATTAAAGAAACAACTTTTTATTTTTGCCCAGGACCAGAAACGCATATACATGCGTTGTGGGAGACCCCATCATACAGTGCCCTCTACCGAACTAGTTGCAATTCCAATGGAAAACGAAACTGTGTAGGGTAAAGATTTGGTTTTTACTCATTGGTAAGGGATCTATCTATCTATTAAGAGATCAGCTTCATCATCAGCGTTAAAGGTGCTGAGCCCACATCGCGTGCAGAAATTGCTGGCATTGCGATGAGTTCATTCTTAACAGCACCATGGACAGTTCCAAAGCTTGACTTTTAATCCGGGACCTAAACTACGGTAATTGCTTTGTATTCTTTGCCGGTTGCTTTTAGCAGTTTCACTTAGGGGGAGTAAAAACGTATTATCAATAATAACTACCCTTCAGACTACTATTCCAACTATAATCTCCTCAAATATGGTGCACCAAAAACAACAACCCATCACTAAAACATCAATTTTTATGTTATGTTTGCAGCTCAAGACAGCCACACAATTAAGTAATTGCACATAAAAGATAAAACTAATAACTAACAGCATCTATTTACTACATATGTACATACATACATTCATATGTACAATATATGAAGTAATTGCCAGCATATTCATTTAATTAATATGACTTACTTGAATTGATGGCATTTTCAACACCCAACAACATAAACGATTATGAAGTGACGGAACCGTGATTTGCGATTTATAAATACTGTTAAGCAAATGTAATCCAGTACATCAAAATGAGCAGCCATTATCATTTGCATAGTTGTTTCGCAACTACAATTAAAACCATAAAACTAATAAAAAAAATTTATAAAACAAAAAAAAAAATATGTGTGAGACACGAGAGTAAATGCAATAAAGAGGATTAAGCAACTTTTATGTGCATACGATTTATAAATTAATATATGCTAATAAATGCGTATACACATATTGTATCATTTGCACATACATACATGCATACATATGCACATAGATACATATGTATATAAAAAAAAATTATGAATGGGGTGTAACTCCCAGTGGAATAGGATGTTTGTGGCAATATAATGATATATATATATATATATATATATATATATATGTATATATATATGGACGTTTGTGTTAAGAACACTTGAGAATTCACAAAATAGCAATTAAAAGGAGAATAAGTTTCTTGGCGCATAATTGCATATTACAACATATCTGCATATAAAATAAATTATTAATTTTTTAAGCACTTTTTTTTTAAGGATAAACATCTGTAATTAATTGAAAAAACACAGTAATGCAATTAATTAACACCACACCCTTCAATCACACCGATCTGTGAATAGAAGGTTTGTAAAAATTTTGAAAACATTTAATGATATAAAGTAAAAAATAAAATTATCAGGTGTACAACTTTGCTTCCGCCGTTTTCCGATAGGTGGCTATACCGGCTGAGGCTGGTTGAAATACATAGATGATATAATGCGTTTAAAGTGAGTGTGAACAGCGCCTAACGAATTGTCATCGCCGTTTCAGTGACAGTTGTTCTTGTTTTCGTATTATTCGG